CCAAGAAGGTTAAACATCTGGGAAGAAGAAAATTTCTGTGAGCATAAAGAACCACAATATTCATTTGCGAAAGGATACGTAAGCATGTTTTCCAGTGGAGCTGAAAACCACCTCATCACCTCCATTTAACATTACACTAGAACTTTTTTGGTAAATCTTGCCATTTACTTGGACGACACCTTTGCCCCCTGTAATTTCCAGTAATGCCACAGATGAACCTTCCCGCTGCATAGAAAAGAGAATAGATAGCACCATCACAACCATTCTATTTTAGATATCTACCACATCAAAAAAGAGTTTTAGATATAATATATATTGTACCTCAATGTGCCTCAGTTTACACAAGGTCTTACTAATAGCTGAATCTTTAAGACACAGGTTGCATTGACGGCTTTGGCCAACAGTGAAAAAAGCACCACACATATCAAGGTGAGGATTCTGAAAGAAAATTTGAAGCATTAGGATTAATTACTAGATTCAATAGCAGCAAAGATTAAGAAAATAATTTAAAGGTCCATCCCATCCTACATAAAAGACAAAGAGAAAGGGTGAAAGACAATTCAAACCTTTTCTCTTTTGGTTTAAACTCTTCAGAAAATGGGCAAAAATTTAATGGATATGCTATGTAAAACCTAAATCGATATTAGGCAATCCCATAAGAATAACCATGTCCACATGAACTGGAAAACACAGACAGGGAATTTTCACCAATACGCATCTGACCTCATAAAACGGGGAATTAAGCAAGTGGGGCACAACCAAAGTTAGTAATTTTCATTCATTTACCCTAGAGAGAGAATTTCATGCATCCCTGTCACAAGGAAAGAAGAAAAATGACAAAAGCAGACCTGGAAAACATCCCTATCATATCGCAGTGGTTAAGACTCGTGCACGCTTGATGACTTCTTTTCCTGCTTTTTTTTGTTCTATCTCAAGAATAATATAGTTCTTATGTGTTATGAAAACTATATATAATAGTCTTAGTCATCAGTAACATCAGAAATTGCCAAGCAGATTTCTAATCCTGCTAGGTGTCATGTCCAAATTTCAAGACTCATCTTTCCATAATTAAAATATACTATATCTTAGTCCACCACCACCAGTATGTTTCTTGGATATATCATGGGAACATCTCAAACACAAGTTCCTCAAAAATTCTCCAGACAACAACATCGATGGGTAAAACTTCACTTGAGTGCATGAAAGAGAGCCAAAACAAGTGCCATGATGTTATGATACCAATTCTCGAGACTGTAGCATGATCAAATGAATGATTCATGATATCCCGATCTCATCTTGGCTAAATATGTGATTGATAACTTTCTTATCACCATACTACCAACTTCCTGGTGACTACTTGAGCTTAGAATTGTCAATGGTTTGGGCTGTAAATTGTTGGACCTGTTGTATTTGGGCATGGGGGCACTATATCATGCCTCAAGAAACTCCAGCATTCTTAACCTACATCAAATGCCACTCTGATTACACACACAATGGAGCTGATCAGCATGTCAACCTCTGTAAGCTCTCCATTTTGTCCCAAGCTGCAGACATTATTCCCCATTCCTATGCTCAATCCTCTACCAGGATATGTTCACAGAATTACATCCACCAAAATTTACACTCATGCTATTCCTAAAGACAAATATGCTTGATCTATTTGATAAAAATTTAATAGCCTCTACAGGGGTCGTGTCAATCTACATAAGAAGCACCATCACGATTATCTTCTTTTCCTCTCCATCCAAAATACCAGAAAAACTATAATGAGGGACCAAAGGAGCTGCTTTTTTGTCCCTAAAGACCCTTTTACTGAACCTTCTCACACCTTCACCTCAACTGAACATGATGTCCACACAAGTCATTCCCCTGCAACTAACTGCTGAAAAATCAGGTTAAAAACAATACCACATCACCTCATCTAATGCAGCAACAGTCAGCCTTGTTTGTCAAAATATCAAAACCCCCACAGCAATACTTACAAAATAGAAAATTTTCATATGTGACATTTTTCAATCTCCGTGGCATCCTTAAATATTACCCAAGACTTGCTGCATCATTCACCTTTTCTTGCAGCCCAAACTAGTTAATCTAAAGAGTTACCACCACATGCCAGAACTCTTTTTAACTGGAAAACACTGCATAATCACGCAAGATTTAGTAAACCAATCAACTTGAACAATCCAAGAGGGATACAATACCCTTGATAAACCCTAATCTCCTGCTCAACTGAAAAAGAAATAACTTTTTTAAAAAATTCTGGTTCAACCTTAGCAAAACCAGACTAAATTCCTAGACTTCGCCAGAGCAAGACCACACCAATAAAATACCCAACACAGAGCAAAACCCACCTGGGAGCACTGAGAAAGCAGCTTTCCCCATGCAACCTTCGAACTCAATTTTGAGGGTCTCCTGGGCTTCTTCTTCACCCGACCGTCGAACACCACAGCTACCGCCTTTGATTTCTCCACATCCCCGTCAGCTTGGCCTAAACCCAAAATTGAAATACACCATGATAAAATCCAATTAAGAAGAACCATAAACAAACTCTTTCACAGAAATCCAAATCAAGAACCATGCATGAAGGATCGAACCTTCAGCGCACGTGGACACCAAGTCGTCACCTTCGACATCGGGGATTTTCTCAGGGGCGGAAGCGTCAACGGCAGTGGTCTTGGCAGCACAGGCGGCTTCAAGATTAGGTGATCGGAGGTCCGACTCTCGACCCTCAGAACCGACATCCTTCGCCTGACCTAGGGTTCCGATCGGTATATCTCCCGTTGACGACGCCGCCACCTCGGCCGCCTGAGATTCCGAAAACAAATATAAAACCAAACAATCAGAAACCCAGATTCAAATCTGGAAAAAAGAATCGAGATTTACAGAGCCACAACCTAAAAGATTACCTTGGGCCGTTTATTGGAGTGAGGTGGCGACCCGGCGGTAGGAGAACAGAGAGACCGCTTAGATGAAGACGAACTCCTTCTTGTCTCCACCATGTTTATCGCTGTTGCTTTTGCTCTTCTTCTTCTTCTTCTCTTTTCTCCTTGTTGATGATGATGATGATGATAATATCGGTGTGCGCCTGGGCTCTCCGATCCAAGAAGAGGGTGATTTTGTGGAGAGAGAATCAAGGAAGAATCGAAAGAGAAGGTGAATGATTGCGGAGATCAGTTATATGCACTTTGTTTGTTTTATATTTCGGTTTTATTATCATAAAAAATATACATATATATATTCCCAATTTTACTGATTTATATCGGTGAGATAAATCGACAAAGAAAGAGAAATCTGAAAAAGAAAAATAGAGTTTATGGGGGCGGTAGGAAGTAGCAAGGGACTGTTTGGTTGGTGCGAAAATTTACAGAAGCGTTGTGGAGTCAAAGCGCGTGAGACTTATACTATTCCTCTGTTTTGGATGCTCAAAAAGGTCTTGAAAGAAATTTGGTCAAATTATCACCGCTGCGTAATTTTTTTGGACTTTTAATATTATAATATTTTTTTATAAAAAAAAAAATTAGTATTTGATGGTGTAATTTTTACTAATAAATTTAAATTTATTCTTATATTGTAAATAATTAATAATGTGTTTTATTTAAAATATATATATTATCATATTAAATTTTATTTTTACTATTAACAATAATTGCAATTAATTAATTTTTATTACTTTTCAATACACAATTTCTCTAAATAAATAAATTACCCACTACGAGCATAAACAATCACAATACATAAATAAGATAAAGAAAAATTAAAAATAAATATACTTAAATTATATATATATATATATATATAAATGTAATCACGTGAGATCATATCTAAATATAATTAAAAAAAATCCACTTAAATTAAGTAAAATATGTGATTTTTATTTAAATTTGTAAATATAAAATCACATTAAATTAAATCATAATCCACCCCAAATCCCAAATTTAGTATGTTGATGGTTGGATTATTGAATTTATTATGTGTGTTAATTTTAGATTGCAACCATAGAATTATTAATTATATTTTATAATTAAATAAAAAATATTTATTGATAGTTATATAATGTAATTATGTGATATCGATTTAAATTAAGCTAAATATATTATTTTTATTTAAGTTGGTAAATACAAAATTACATTAGATTACATCATAATCTAATAAATTAAAACGCGAGAAAATTTAAATTTTAATTAAAAAATTATTAGTTAGTTAAATAATGTAATTATGCGATATAATGTCTATATAAATCAATTTAAATTAAAGTAAAATATATAATTTTTATTCAAGTTGGTAAATATAAAATTACGTTAAATTAAATTATAATTTAATCAAAATTTGTTAGAATATTGAATTTACGATGTGGGTTTGTAACGCCCGGAAATTTGAAAAAAATTTATTATTTTATTATTAATTATTTTAATTAGGTTTTAAAAAACGCCACGTCAGCAGCCACGTCAGCAGACTCGGTCAGCAGTCCCAGCCAACCAGGACCTGCCACGTGGCAAAACCACGTCGACCGGGGACGGGCCACGTTGGCGATCCGCGTACGCGCGATCGGACGACCCAGATCAAGCGTGCGTACGGACGGCCCAGATGCAATCGCTCGGACGGCCCAGATTAAATCAAAATGGACAGCTGAGATCAAAAGGCAAAATGGTATAAATAGAACCCCCACACCTGACCACAAAAACCCTAGCCGCCTGCCCTCGCCGGAGAAGACGAACCAGACGCCGGAGACGCCGGCCGCCGCCACCCGCCGCTGAACCGGGGAGATTTCCGACCGCCGATCGAGGTAAATTTCATACTCCCGACTCGTTTTTCCACGCTGATTTCCCCTATGGCCAAATCGAAGCCAAAATCCCGGCCAAACGGCAGGAAAATACGGCCGAAACCCAGCGGCGGCGCCGCGCCCCTCCTCGGTTTTTGCCTCCGATGAGGCCCTTTCCGACCTCCGTTTAATGCAATTTTTATATCACCGTGATCACCATTCTTTTCTCTACAGGTTAATCAGAGCCGAATCACCAAAACACGAACCTCACCGGAGAGCCGCCGCACCCGAGAGCACTGCCGCTGGTAAGCTTCGGTTTTCCGTAATTTTTTGGCCTCCCGAGGGCTCTAGGGTTGTTTTATCGCAAGGACCGATGCAAGTGTGGCCGAATTCGGCCAAAAATGGTCGAAAACGGTCAAACCGAGGCGAATCGCCGGCGCAAGCGGCGGCACCGACGCCGGAGCACGGCGGAGCCGCCATGCCGGAATTGCGATATTGGCCAAAAAGGGGCCCTGGGCCTAATTTGAGATTTTTTGGAACACGTGCAGGTACCAGTAGTGCGTTTCAGTTCCCCGAAAAAAAATCAGGAAAAATTATGGACAGCCTGTAGGCGCACTGTGAAGCCGTGTTCGGACCCCGAAACGAGTAAGGACCCCTCACCCTATTTTCTATCACGGTATTAAAGTTCAATAAATGATAAAACGGTATTTCATGAATCAATAGATGTGTGAAATTATTTAATGTCGTTAATGGAGCCCGAGTCTAGTGTGTTTATCAATTAACTGTTATTTGGCCTATTTTACAGTTTTAAATGCAATATGAGGTTTGATGTTTGCATTTTATAGTTTCGTGTGCATATTTTACTGTTTTATTGATTATGGATTGAATGATTGGGATATTGATGCTATATGTTGTCTGTTTGGCATAAATTACTGTTTTACTTGTTTGTATGTGGATTAATGATGCTGACTGAGAAAAAAGAGAATGAAAGATTATGTAAATGGGTAATTGTATAATGTGGTCAGCCTGACTAGATATCCTGGGAGATGGTGGACGGACTGGGTCCGTAGGGAACCCTACCGGGATTGTGGTCTCCCATACCGAACGGGGTATGGAGATCTTATGTGTTTTGGCGCCCATACCGGACGGGGTATGGGGACGGCCCGTTTCACCCTCATACCGAACGGGGTATGGGGACGGTCCTGGAATCTGTTTTTCAAGTGTTAAGGGTTAACGGGTAGCAGGACCCCTATGGATCCCCATGGATACTAGTGGGCTGGTAAATGAGGAAAATATGTTGTGTAACGATTGAATTACAAAAGGCGTGATAAGTATTATGTTATACAGTTTATATATGATTTCATGATGATGATAATGTTATTGCTTTTGTATACTGTTTTATGAATTTCACTGAGGTAAGTGGATGGTAAAGGATTTATTATTGACAAAAGAATTTGTTGTAAATTATGCTCCATTGGTCTTTTGTGTTTTCTACCTACCTTTACCTCCGTGACGGTGAGATATCATGATGTCCTTACTGGGCTAGTGTAGCTCATTCTTTATTTAATCATTTCAGATCAGGAAGACATTGTTCCCGAGCCCGTTCCGCAGGAGGACGACGAAGGGGACGCCTAAAGACTCCATAGTCATATTCGTAGCTTTTACTTTCAAGTTTTTCCTTTAAATAGTTTGATCTTTTATATTTTGTGAGCACGTTTTTTGTTTTAGTGTAAGGGATGTTAATCGAATTTTTGACTTCGCTTCCGCATTTGATATTTTTAATACACA